TCAAAAAGAAGACTTCATACTGCATCCCAAAGTCTCCTTCCCTTCAGCTGATCTTATAATGGTAGATTTCACAGTCCCCTTACTATCTTGTTAGTAGAACATAAGCTCCTTAAGAATAGGGACTTTTATATTTGTCTCCAATACCTAGTATAGTACCTGGCACTCAATAGGCACTTAATGAGTATTGATTAATTGTTTGTTTGTTTTTCTCCTCCTCTGGATATGTTCTAATATGTTAATGTTCTTTCTAAAATGTGGTGACCCAAACTGAATATAAGAATCAACATTTGGTTTGACCTGAGAAAATCTGGTACTGTAGCCCTATCACTGCTATTTTTGTGGACACATGGTTTTGATTAATGTAGCAGACTAAAATCATGTTAGTTACAAATCCTCAACTATACCAGCCTTTTTCCCAGGAGTATCAAAGTTAATGTCAGCAGTTGCAGCAAAATTCCTGACCAAGTAAAGCAAGAAAGAACTAGATTAAAATGTAATTGGGAAATGTTTAACAAAATAAATAACAACACAATAGAACATATACAAGGTCAATATGTGGTTTTCTAAGTCAATATGTAGCTGTGGACCCCATTTCTATTTGAGTTTGACAGTAATTCTGTAGCCCACATCTCTCCATTCTATCCACAAGGATGAATGAAGGGAAAAGTGTTTATTAAATGATTACTATGTGATTACTACAGGCACTGCACTAAACACTTGTATGTGGAAAAAAAACTGGTCAAATGCCTTGCTGAAATTCACGTACTATACATGTATATATATATATAGCATACAATATGCATACTATATATATATACTATACCCACATTATTGTTCTAAAAATAGTTAACCTGAGGAAAGTGAAAGAGAGAAAAAGAGAGGAAGAAAAAAAAAAGAAAGAAAATAAAGACTTACATTAGCAAGAGATTCTGGCCTAGTAGTAGCTAAGAATAATAATACCTCCCATATCTATAGTGTTTTGAGGCTTGCAAAGTGCTTTCCCCACAATAATCCTGTGAGGTTGGAATATAATATAGAGCTCTGAATAGGAATTCTTTTACCTGGTAGGAAGACCAGGTGGAAGTAGACTAGATCAGAGACCATCAAACTCAAGGGGCAGCAGGCAACCTGCAAAACTCCTGAGTGTGACCCAAATCAGCATAAAATATAGTTGAGAAATGTTTAACAAAGTAAATAAAAATTATAATACAAGATAGATAATGTTAATTTGTGGTTTTCTAAGTCAACATGCAGCCCACATGGATCTGTTTCTATTTGAGTTTGACATCACTGGCATAGAGGAAAGTCTAACTGCAAATATATTCACTAAAGGAGATGAAGCAGCCAATGCCCTCAAAAGAACCATTTGAGCCCTCCCAGAGGTTTATTGAAAGGAGGCAATTCCCAATAGAGGAACACCACAGCAAGGAGCCTTAGGTAGTGGGCCAGATGAGGGATCCTGGTCACCCATGGGGTACAGCCCACCAGGAGACTGCTGGGCCTGATACACAGAGATAGCAGTCGAAGAGAGGAAAGAAGAAACAAAACCTTCAAATCGGTATCCTGGGGTCTCAATCCTAGTTATAGCCCAATGCACTTAGATTATATTAATTTAACAAATGAGTAAATTGAAGTACAGAAAATGGAAATAATAAACCTTTGAAGTCACACAGCCATTAGGTACTGAACCTATTATTCAAAAAGGTCCCAACTCAAATTTTCACTAAATCAAATTTACCATTCCTTATTATTCCAAATTATTGAAGGTCTGCCTTAGCACAGAATAACTGTATACAGTATGTACGAAGCATAGTACACATAACATGGTCATAATAGTATAACATTTTTGGCATCATGTGAAAGCTTCATGTTTCTTTTATTGTTGTAGTTGTTCAGTCTTTTCAGTTGTATCCGATCCTTCATGATCCCATTTGGTGTTTTCTTAGGAAAGATACTGGAGGGGTGTGCCATTTCCTTCTCCAGTTCATTTTACAGATGAGGAACTGAGACAAATGGGGTTAAGTGACTTGCCCAGGGTCACACAGCTAGTAAATGTCTGAGTATCATATTTCTTTATACACATTTTAAGGAGATGTTGCATAATCGATCATTCGCCTTAATGAGTGTATTAATATTAACTAGTTAACTGGTTCTTAATAGTTAATTTATATAACCAGTAATAATACCACTGTGAAGAGTATTGTTCCTATCACCTGTGATAGAGATGGGCTAGATTCACTTTGTCAGTTCTGTGAAGGCAATATTTATTATTTGGACTGTTATTCAAATATTCTTTGCTGTCTGTATTTGGGGGAAGGAGATCATGTGTAATAGGAAGGGGAGAAGAAAGAAGGGAAGGCCCATGGAACATAGATTTAGAGCTAGAGGAGACCCTGGAGATCAAGTCCAATCCAGTCATGCTACACATGAGATACCTGAGGCTCAGAGAGTTCAGGTCACTTGCCCAAAATCACACAGCTAGTAAGTGACTTAGTTCCTCTAACTCTAAATCTAGCATGGTTTCACTGTGCCACATTGACTGTGGGTCAGCTGAGGCCACTTCTGGGATCAGGGTACTGGAAAGGGCCCTCACACAAAGTTTTGCCTAGGAACCAGAATGCAAACTGGCTGATTATAATCACAACAAAAATAATGGTCTGATGTTTCTTTCATGAAAGCAACTCTGAATTGGTAGTGATTTTTACACTCAGAAATTCTAACTTTGTCCCAATTTGATCTTCATAACATTTTAAAGATCTTCTGCCTTGTAAGCTTTTGACCAAAAAGTCATAAAATAAAATTCTGGATCGGATCATTCAAATTTCATCTATTTTTCAAACAAAAAAAAGTCAACCAAATCATTTCAAACATAATGGGGGAAAACAACCTGCAAGATTACAACTAACTTGCTTCTTTCATTTCTAAATTTTCTATTGAGAATTGCTTCTCCAAACCAAACAGGAACTGTCATTTCCTCTCTGTGACAAGCACAGTCATATCTGTAATGTCTTTCTGCCCTATTGGTTTCTAAATATTCACTAAGTGCTAGGTTTTTATAGCCTTCTGTGATGTGTTGCACAGTTTCTGCCATTTCCTTGTATAATCTGTATCAGGGGTGGGGGACCTGCCACCCCTAATCTATATTAATCACTAAGACTTGCCTAAGAATAATGCCTAATATTCAAGCATCCCTTAGTTTAGAGGCATAATTGGACAAGTGAGCTGTTCTGAATCCAAATCCTATCAAGTCAGCTAACTTCTCTGAATCTCAGGGTCCTCATCTGTAAAATGAGAATAATAATGGCACCACCCTCACAGGATTGTTGCGAAATCAAATGAGAACATGTATGTAAAGTGCTTTGCAAACCTTAAAATGATTATTTCCAATATTCTGTCATCTAGGCTTTTCAATAAGTTGAACTGGCCTTGCATTATATTTTTTTTCATATGTCAGTCAACTAGCCTTTATTAAGCTCCTACCATGTTCCAGGCACTATGCCAAGCTCTGGGGATAAAAAGAAAGGCAAAAATCAGTCCCTGTTCTCAAGGAGCTCACAATCTAATGAGTGAGACAGCATGCACACAATAGTGTACAAACAAGATTAGATAGGTAGATAGATAGATAGATAGATAGATAGATAGATAGATAGATAGATAGATAGATGATACGATAAATTGGAATAGTCTCAGTAGGAAATCACTAAGATTGAGGACTGGAAGAGACTTCTTGCAAAAGGTGGGACTTAAAAGAAACCAGGTAAGCCAGAGGAGATGAGTGGAGGCCTTCCAGGCATGCAGAACAGCCAGGGAAAACACTCCCAAGAGTCGAAGATGGAGGATTTATTGCAGGATAGTATAACCATAACCATTTTAACATCATATGAAAGTTTTTCATTCCTTTGCAGACACTTTCAGAAGGAACTGAACTGAGGTAATTGAATTCTTCAGAACTAATAGGCTACCTTAATGAATGTAGTATCACCATTTCTGTTAACATTATTATTCTTACCACCTGTCGGGGACTCCCTCAGTGAACCCTGGCATGCAGTATGTAGTGCTGTTAAATCAGATGTGGCCCCGCGTTAAATTGTTTATGTTGCCCAGGACTGGGGTCGGTACCAGGACTACATTTTCTCAATCTTCTCATCACCCTCCTTTCAAGCCTTCCCTCTTCCATTCTCCTCATCTCCCTAGCCTGACTTCATGATCAGTCAGTAGAGATGGGGCCCCAGAAATCGAAGGATAGTTAAGAATTGTTTTTTGCTGATCGGGCAGAAATTGGGGAATCTCCTAGCTCTTCCTAGTACTATAGTACTCCTAAATCCATGGTGCCCTGCCCCCAAGACAAGGGCCGCTGACATAGGGAAGTGGGGAGGGGAGGTTCAATGCACAGAGAAGGGCTCTTGTCCAGTCAGTTTCCTGCAATTGATCGAAATGAAAACAAACCCCGAAGCCCCGGTTAACACGAAAAGCTACACACCCACCCGAATGACTATGAGCGTTGTGGGCAGGGACTCGGTCCAGCCCTGATCCCAAACCACGCTGATTTACAAAACAGCCTACCAGATCACAGACAGAGAGTTCCCTCCTTCTCTTGTTCTTAAACCAAATAAATAAATAAACACGTACTAGTCAGGGAAAGGAGCTTTGTACCAGGAGACAGACAGCCACGGCACTCTCAGTTTTGACTCTGTATGTCTTTAGGCACGGCCCTCAACTGCTCTGTGCCTCAGTTTCTCCCCGCTGTAATGGGGCGATTTGAATTGCGGTTGTTAATCTTTGCTACTTCCTGGATGTCAACCTCTACTACACACCCCAGCCCAAAATCTAATAACCAGTTTCAGTTCTCTACTCCGCTCAAATCCCTCTCAGAAGAGGGGTGGCGAAAGTCTCTACCCCGACCCCCCCCCCGCGCCCGTTCGGGGGAGTGGAGAGGGACGGGAGAAGCTGGAGGGACCCTGTTCGAAGCTCTGTTCTGGGTGGCTGTGGAAGTCTCTTACCAGGGCTATGACCCCCGCTGTTGCTTCTGCCGCTGCCCCTCAGTTGCTCTGGGCGCTTGTCCCAGGCTGCCGGGGCACCCCGCTGCCCCCTGCCCAGCATCGATCCTCCCTCCGAGGTCTGCTACCCCCGCTGCTTCCTCTCCACCCCCGCCAGAGCTCGGGGAGTGGGAAGGCGGGGGCGAGGAGGGTGGGAGCTCCAGCCTGGCTGGACTCCTCCTCCTCTTCTCTCCCTCCGTTTCTCCGGCTCTCTGTCTGCACGATCTACTCCCCTAGGAAGACCCAGGCCTGGCCCTTCAGCCAAGGAAGCATGAAACCAGAGCTGGATGGGGAGTGGTGAAAAGAAGGGGATGGGGGATAACAAGGAGACGTCTTCCTTCTCCCAGGACCGTGATTTCCGTGAAATTGCAGAGCTCTCTAGGCGCCCACCAGCCCCTCTCGAGTTTTCTCCAACTCTGGTTCTGGGGGCCACAGTCTTCCCTTCTGGGCTTCCGAAAGTTTGGTTTCTGCTTTCATTCAATCATTGCGCTTTGAACCCAGGAAGAAAAGATAAGGATAAGGGATAAAGGAATTATGATATAGAATTTAAGGATTAAGGAACATGGCATGTCTATGGCATAGACAATAAAAGGAAATCCCCCAGCTTACAAATTTGGGGAAGGGTAAAAACGTAGGTGTTAAAAAAGGGGATGCAGCTAGTTGGCACAGTGAATAGAGCACCGGCCCTGGATTCAGGAGGACCTGAGTTCAATTCCAGCCTCAGACACGTAACTCTTACTAGCTGTGTGACCCTGGGCAAGTCATTTAACCCCATTGCTTAGCCAAAAAAAAAAAAAAAAATTTAAAAAAAAAAAACGTAGATGTGTGAGGTGGAGTAGAGTGGTAGGAAATTTCGGGGTAAAGAATGACTAATTGAATGAAAAAACTTTATATTAAGCACCTTCAATGTGCCAGTGATGGCATAGCGGTTAGAAAGGCATTGCCTAATAGCGGAACGTGGTTCAGTGATTGAGCGCCCGGCCCAGAGTCAGGAAGACTCATTTCCCTGAGTTCAAATTCGACCTCCGGCACTTATTAGCTGTGTGACCCTGGGCAAGTCGCATAACCCTGTTTGCTTCGGTTTCCTCATCTGTAAATTCAGCTGGAGAAGGAAATGTCAAACCACTGCAGTATCTTTGCCAAGAAAACCACAAATGGGGCTACAACGAGTCGACACGACTTAACAATGTTGCATTCCTGGACCAGAAGCCAGGAAGATAAATTCAAGTTCTGACTCTGACACATACTAGCTGGGTGACCACGAACAAGTCACAATCTCTCAGTACTTGGGCAGTAAGTTGCCGAAGAGGTGTTGACCTGCATTGGTAGAGGGACTTTCCTCACCTTCCTCACTTCCTAGTTCACTACAGTTCTAGTCCCCGACCTCAGGTGCTAGGTACTGGTGATTCAAATAGAAAAGTAAGACTGTTTCTGCCCTCCAGTAGCTTAATTTATAATAGTGGGGAGCAACACATAGCAGAGTCATAGCCAGAGAAACAGTTTTTGTCTGAGAAATCACAAAAATAATGAGTGGTTTCCAAAGGATCCATGATGAAAAAATGCTATCCACCCCCAGAGAGAGAACTGATGAACTCTGAGTGCAGACTGAAGCATATTTTTTCACTTCGTTTTTCTGTTTGTGTGTGTGTTTTCTTTTGCAACATGGCTAACGTAGAAATATGTTTTGCATGACTTCACATGTATAATTATTTCTATATTGCTTGCCTTCTCAGGGAGTGAGGGAGGGTCCAGAAGGAAGAAGAGGATTTGGAACTCTAAATTTTTTAAATGAATGTTAAAAAATTATTGTAATTGGGAAATATGAAATGAAATAAATGAAAAAATATTTTTGGGGGACAGCTAGGTGGTGCAGTGGATAGAGCACTGGCCCTGAAGTCAGGAGGACCTGAGTTCAAATCCGACCTCAGACCAAACACTTGACATTTACCATCTGTGTGACCCTAGGCAAGTCATTTAACCCCAATTGCCTAAAAATATATATACATATTTTTTTAAAAAAGAAAAAGAATGTGAGTAGTGATGGCCATGTCCTTTCCCAGAAGCACTGACAGTACTTATTTGATCACTATTCCCAGAAGAAGAAATGGCAAAATGTTCCAAATGTTCTAGTTTGGATGAATTTGAGCCTGCAAGATGTAATCAGGTGAGTTTTGTAGTTTCTCACAAATCAAGAGCTGAACCCCAAGATGGAGCTTCAAAGCTGAGTGGGTTAAATCACCTAAGGAAAGGAGGCTTGGTCTCTGTTCCGAAGGAGGGTGCTGTTCCAGGTGAGAGAAGGAAACAGTGGCAAGATAATGGCAAGACAGGTACAACGTAGAGTGGAAGAAATGGGAGTATAGGTAATAGCAGCCCCATAATGAAAGTAACGTAAACAAAATTCAGGCATCTGAATTCTTATCAACTCCCTACTGCTGTTGTGGTGGGTCCATCACTACTCCAGGTGTCTTTGACCTCTCCTTAACAGAATAGTCATCCTAGGGGTCGTTTCTTTGTTCCTTCAACAACCACTTAAGTGGGAGTACGGGCAGTGGGGTACATAAAGATATGGACCATGTGATAAAGCAGTTAGATGATTTCAGACCTAGTTGACAAAAATAGTGATGGGGATGTCTGTGCCACCTTGGAAGGAGGTCTCAAATGAAGTCCCCAAGGGATCTGTCCTTGGCTTTGTGCTGTTCAACATTCTAATCAATAACATGGATGAAGGCATAGATAACATGTTTGCAAAATTTGCAGATGACATAAAAAGAAAGCAACAGCTAACATGTTGAAAAACAAAAAAAAATTCAAAAAGTTTCAATAGGATAGAGTAATGGGCTGAATCCAATCAAATAAAACATAACAAGGATAAATAGAAAACATTGGTTCTAATGATGTAAAAGATTTTAAGGTTTTAGAACAATGGTGTCCAACTCAGAAAGAAGCAAAGGCCACTAAACTATCCATAAGAATGGCCTCAACTACATATTGACTTAGTTTTAAAATGTAATTATTATCTATGTTTTGGTATGTTTTTATTTATTTTGTTAAGTATTTCCCAATTACATGGCTTAAGTGCACTCAAGAATATTGTGGGCCATGTTTTTGACACCTCTGTTTTAGACCACTACAAGTTCAATATGAGGAGTAAAAAAAAAAGTTAATAGGATCTTAGACATGGGAAAAATAAACAATAAAGCAAAGCTATAAGTGATTATGTGGCAAAAAAGTGGCATGGATTTTAAAAGTATGCAGAGTTCAGGGGATAGAGAATCCACTGTGTACAGGAAGAACTTCACAAAGAGGACAGGATATAAGCTAAATCTTGAGAAATGGGAAGGATTTAGCTAGATGGAGAGGAGGAGAAAAAGCATTCTAGGAGGGACAAACAATAAGAAGGTAGCTGATCTTCCTTTCCTTCAATTTACCCCTCTCCTCATGTTGGAGAATGGTAGTGGCCTAACAACATCATTCTGAGACAAGGATCAATGAGGTAAAATGGAGATTCAGTGGATACCTAGGTTTAGCTAGATTTCAAGGTTCCAGATGGAATAATCATAGCAGATAAGGTTGGAAAGGTAGGAAAGGTTCAGGAGCTGAAATTTTGTCCTCCAGTCATCAATTAGCCATTAGAGGTTTTTGAGTAAGAGAGGGAAATTAATCATGATCAAAATCAGCATTCCTGGGTATGTGCATGGCACTCTATTAATACAAAGAAATATCATGTTCCCTATAGTCTAGAAACATGGCATGATTTAAAAAGATTCATCCAGCTGCAGTATTTAGGATATGACATCTAGAGCTTCCAAATATGTCCCCAGAGGGATGGAGAAGAATATCAGAACAATCACTTTGATAGAATCCAACATCAAATAATATCTGAATGATTTTATCAAGACATGTTTGCCTTTCTTGGGAATAGATTTGGTATACTACAAAGACTATATTTGGAATCAGTCAATCAACTACCATTTATTAAGTACTTACTATGTGCCAAGCATTGTGCTAAATGCTGAGAATATAAATACAAGTAGAAAGAAAGGCAGTGTGTGCTTTCAAGGAGCTTACATTCTAATGAGAGAAGACAATACATAAAAGGAACCTGAAAAGGGGCTGGGAGAAGAGAAAGGTACCCCATGAGGGAGGCATGGTAGAGGAAGTCCTGAGTGAAGCCTAGAGAGGAATCAGACATCAGTGGCCTGAGTGTCCTCCTTAAATAGAGGTTCTGAGAGGAGCCATCCAATCAGAGGAGGGAGAGGCCACAGGAGTGGAAGGTACTTCCAATATGTGAATTCCAAGGCTAAAGTGAAAATTCAGGGATATGGTGAGGCTTCAGGATAGTAGAATAAATCTGGAGCACAGCCTGAAGAGGAATGAGAATGAGCAGAGGCAGATTTTATTTCCACCTCTGATTTACCAGCTCCATAACTATTGGTAAATCATGTCATCTATCTGAGCAAGGTTTCCTCATCTAGAAAATGTAGGACATACTCACTTCATGTGTTGTGTTGAGAATCACATATCATGGACTCCCCAAAACTACCCCAGGTCTGAGGCACTTTGTAGAGCAATACTCATTCAAAACCATAGCTCTTGAGCCCCTACCAATGAATGAATGAATGAATGAATGAATGAATAAGCATTTATTAAGAGCTTACTATGTGCCAAGTATTTTGCTTGATCTTCAACCAGGTCATGCCTACTAACAGTGAATTTCCCCCAGGGCTATTCTCCCTTCATACAATTTCACTTGGTAATCTCTTCAGCTCCCAAGGATTCATTCATCATCTGTATGCTGAAGATGCTCGGATCTGTTTGTCCAGCCCAGCCCTAATTTCTCTCCTGAACTCCAGTCTAGTTTCTCCAATTGCCTAACAAATATCTAGAATTAGATGTCCTGTAGACATCTTAAATTGAACTCATTATCTTTCCCCACCCGCTCTTTCTAACTTTCCTGTTACTGTCAAAGTACCACCATCCTCCCAGTCACCTCGGCTCAAAACCTAGGTGTTATCCTTGACTCCTCACTCACCCCCAATTTTACTTTCCTAACATTTCCCCCATATGCCCCATTC